AATAAGTAGTAAAGTTAAAACAACATTTTTTTACGTGAAAAATACTCGGCTCAAAAGGTGCAAAAACCATGACCTACTGCGTAGGATTTTCAACTTCAACTCCACTAGAACAATGAGCCAAATGTATCGATTACAAGATTGTAACTCAATACTCTGCAGTACTCCTAGTAACTCTATTTGTTTTACACGCTACTCTAACATGTAAAGCAAACACTCACTCCAACTCACTAATTGTTTGTGACACTTCGATTACAACTCGATTTTCTAAAACACATTCACTAGACTAACTCAAGAAGAATACAACACTGGTACTCGATTAGAGTGTGTAAAATATAGTTCTTCAGTTGATGTGCAAAAGGATGATCTTAGCAGTCCAGAAGGATAGTATTTAATTGCCTCGACTCCAAGATCTTCTAGGAGTCCTATGTGTAGTCAGCTTCTCGCTTGACAGGACTCCAACTGTTCCAAGGACTCCACAAGTCTTGGGACTCTTGTCTCTCACTTATTCATGTGTATCTTCTTGGGCAACAATCCTTATCATGTGTGGCAGTCTTCTTCCACCAAACTCGGGCCTGGGTAACTTTGAAATAAAGTTACTGTCTTACAAAGACGCACACTCATCATTTATGAGGAGTTGGTCCTTAACCCTGAGAAGCTGGTTCTTGGAAGCGGTTAAGCAACTACGTTGAGGACCTGGTTCTTAGAACATTTCATCTGAACAAACTTTGTTAATCATCAAAATCTCAATACTCTAACACATATGATCAAGAATATTATATATAACGAGTGGGTAGTGTGAAGGGAATGAACCATCCAACGGTCAAAACAAGGTGGGTGTTGGAGGGTGGCACATTTGTGTGTGGAATGGGACAGAGGCGGATCCAGGATTTTAAATATATGGGTTCCTGTCGCAATTTCAAATTAATATACAATAATAACTGGGTTCACAAATAGATATTTAATAAAAAATTTAACAAAAATACAAAGTCTACACAAAAGTTACTGGATTCGCGGGAACCCATATATTACACTCTAGATCCGCCCCTGGAATGGGAGGTCACCAACCATCTGCCCACTTAGACCGGAGAAAAGGACTCCTGTAGTGTAATTTATTTATATTGACAGAGTAATTTTTTTTATATTGGATATCTAATAATTTTTAATACATAAATACAGGATTCACGTGAACCTATAGGTGATACTATAGATCCGCGCCGACTCATTCTTGAATCTTCATCCATGCATCTTCAATTTCATGTTAAATATACATGAACCTGAATTCTTCTCTTTCACTAGTAAGACGTAAGTATATGATGAAAAGAAAAGAAAATAATTAAAGCAGAAAAGAAAAATCCTTCCGAATATTCTTGTCTGGATTTCTGGCCGTATTCTTCATTTTTTTTCCTTTTCTTCCAATCCACCGCTCTATCGGCACTCATGACCATTTCCATGCACGTTATTAAACTTCAAAACTTTAGTATTTCCATCCACCTTTGTAGGGGTGTGCATTCGATTTATCGATTCGATTTTGACCCTTATCGTAATTACTTATCGATTATCGATTTGTACATATGCTTATCGTTATCGTTTCAATAAGGTTTCGATTTTTTCGATTTCGATTTATCGATTTTGGGGGCTTATCGATTCGGTTATCAATTACACCAATAAGAAAATTTGCGGGATTCCACGGAAAGTATATCGCTATAAACGCGCCTAACTAATATGGACAAAAAGAAGCTAAAATAAGACGAACACCATTTATAATATAAAAATTGTGTCAACAAGCACATGCAACAAAACTAAAGTAAGGGATCAAATGTATGCCACCAACACTCCAACGGTACAAAAAAATAAAACAAAACAAAACACATCATCACGGCTAATTCTGTTTTCCATTAATTTGAACTTCATTCCCTTGATCTTTAAATATGATCATTCCTTAAATGTAGTAGAGGAAATAATAGGGTAAGGGACTTAGGGTAAAGGAAAGGGTATAGATTAGAGAAAATAATATTGTATAGCCGCTTTCAAAATAGTAGCGGAATATATATACATTCTGTATGTTATATTAATCTACACAAATAGGTAATTACTCATTTAACAAGTGTCTACAGTCTAGGGGTGTGCATTCGATTTATCGATTCGATTTTGACCCTTATCGATAATTACTTATCGATTATCGATTTGTACATATGCTTATCGTTATCGTTTCAATAAGGTTTCGATTTTTTCAATTTCGATTTCGATAACAAATAATCGATTCGATTTATCGATAAACCGATTCGAATGCACACCCCTACGCCTTTGTCCCCACATATATGATCAATCTTGGCATCTATTGTCTTGATTAGGGGTGTAAATGAGCTGGTTGGATTGATTTTGGGCGGGTTAAAATGGGCTGAGTCAATAAATGAGTGGGTTAATGACCCGCCCAAAAGTTACTTGGGGTGAGTCAAGATGAGCTAATATTTGGGTCATAGCCCAACCGGTCCAACTCTTACCAAACTTTAATGGATTAGTTACCTCCTATAGCAAAGGTTGATACCTTATTTATTTTAAATAAATATACTTTTAAAAAATTATATTCCATAGCTACCTTTTGATTTTTTATAGCCAAATATCTATTTATGGTCACCTCCTACCCTTAAGCCATAAAATAAGCTTTGTATTATTTTTCTCTCTCATATCCTCTCAAATTTCTCCTATCCCCTACCCCATATCTATTCTCCCTCTCTCTCTCTACTTCCCGATCTCATATCCTCTTTTCTTCTTCTTGTACAATTTCAACAATTGGCAGTGCCTCTATCGAAGCCTTTGTCGCTGGCGGTGAAGGCCCCTGCAGATTCTGAATGGTACTACTTGTGATTGATTCCCTACCACTTCTGGAATCCATGGAAACTTCGATCACGTACGATCTCCGATGCAACAATAGTTGGAATTAAAGGCGGCGCTGGATCGTCGGCAACCAGAGGCAACAGTGACGGCGAGCGGGGACTGGATACTGACGCTGCTTCAACGAGACGCCATTAGGGTTGTTCCTGAACAAAGACGACAGAGTTGAGGTCTAAGCAACTTGAATTTTTTGTTAATATATTTCAATGTATTTCAATGTATCCCACTGTATTTCATTGTATTCATTGTCTTTTTTTCATTGTATTTCAATGTATCTCGCTGTATTTTATGTATTTCATTGTATTCATTATTTTTTTTATTGTATTTCATTGTATCCCGCTGTATTCTATGTATTTCATTGTATTCACTGTCTCGCTATATTCCACGAATGTATTCATATGTTTTATTTTAATTAATATAATTTATGTATTTAGATGTATTATATAATTTCTCTGAAGATTGCTATATTTTTGGGGTGTTTTTCGGTTGAGAATCTTTTTTATAACTGAAAATACAAAATTTATGTGTTATAATTGAGTTTGTTGAGTTATATTAGGAGTCTATTATGTTAATCGATTCACTTTCCGTTTAAAAACAGTGTAATCCCCTGTTTCACGCGGTGAATACAGTCGAATACAGTCGAATACAATAATCTGTCCAGCTGTAATACCATGTTTCACGCCACGAATACAATCGAATATACTCAAATACAAAAATATGTCTAGCTGTAATTCCCTGTTTCACACCTAGAAATGCTACCGCATTTATGAATACAGTAGTTTAAATACATCGTATACACTCTAAAAAATCTGAAAACATAGCTATAGGAAGTAATATAGTAAATGGTAGCTACAACTAGCTAATAACCACTAAAACATAGTGGTTTCTGAAAGTTTCTCAACTTTAATTAATGTGTTTTGTTTTCTTATCAATGGTTTAATTATCAAATAAGACTTTTTTTTTCTTTTGTTATGGTCATATATAATATATCAAACAAAAAATTTATTTTTAAAGATATTTTGACAAAGTTACTCATGGATCAATTTGGAATAAAAATTAGTCCAACTTTAGATGAGCTGGGTCAATGGGCTGAGGTCAGCAAATGGGCTGGTCAGTGACCGGCCAACCTTGAGCAATTTAGACAGGTTAAATGAGGTTGGACTCAAATTATCACTGTCTAATGAAGAATATACCATCACTGGTTAGCCTGAAACTGAACCTTTCAATGCCGAATGCTATCCTAATGACAAATTATTGCTCAAGAAGAACAAGGTTTCTCTACTTATAAATAATCAACTTTCACTATCAAAGTCACTGTTACAAAGGCTGAAAGTCCAACACTTTCACAAAACTACAACAGCTATATCTTGTTAGTGATTGAGAAACCAAAGACCATTCCACTTTGAAGAAACAAATGTCATCAAGAAATGCTTAAAGTCTTTATAAATGACAAATTAGACAAGATAATTTATTTTCATTGGTCGATGAAACCAACGACCATTTCACCTTTAAATAAATGCATATATAACTTGGGGTATTAATTTAGCTCATGAAAATATACTCCGATCAACTCGCTTATTTTGGACATACTCACGTTAATTACTCCATTCCCGAAAGACATAGGGCCTCAAGTAAAAATAGTAACACGATTAAAACATATTCTCAACTAAGTGACATCGCGTAGTACCCTATTTTTTGCCATATAAGTTTGCTTGGACATCCATTTGACACCCATATATATACATTTCCTAATTCAGTCCAACTTGGGTACTAGACATGGGCGAAGCTACATTCCCTTAAGGGTGGTCAATTGATCACCCTTTGCTGAAAAATTACACTGTATATATAGGTAAAATATTAGGTTTTAGAGGTATATAATATATATTGAACACCCTTTATTGAGAATTTTTTTTCACTTAGTTCAAGTTTGAACACCCTTGAAAAAATTTTTGGCTTCGACTAAATCTTATCAACTTTGACACCCTATATATATAACCATTTTAGTCCAACTCGGGTACTAGCTAGATCTTAATTATCATCAACTTCAATCATTAGAAGTGACCTTCCCTTATTTTCCTATACTCTTTAAGTATCATAGCACTCTTCAATCAACACTAATCAAGTATGAAGAAGCACCATTACCTAGTTATCTCTTTGCCTGCACAAGGCCACGTAAACCCCACTCTCCAAATGGCCAAGAACCTTGCACGCGCCGGTGCACGCGCCACCTTTGTCACAACCCTTTACGGCCTCAAACGAATGAACAACCTTCCAACACAAGAAAGGTTATTCTATTCCTCCTTCTCCGATGGTTACGACGACGATTGGATGTCGAACACTGATCACACTGATTATATGAATAATTTAAAGCACGAGGGATCAAAAAACCTCAAAAATCTCGTTCGAAAATTTTCCGACGAGGGTCACCCCGTTACGTTCTTTGTTTACACTATTCTCCTACCTTGGGTTGCTGTGGTGGCGCGTGACTTACACGTGCCGTCGGCTTTTCTGGTCATTCAGTGTGGTACTGCTTTGGCTATTTATAACCATTTGTTTAATTCTACTAACGGAGTTTATGGTTCCGTTGGTGATATTACTGTTACACCCTCATTTCCAATTGAATTTCCAGAATTACCCCTATTTTCATGCAAGGATATTCCTACCATAGTTTTACCTAATGCTCCTCACTCCTCTGTCATGATACCTATAATGAGAGAACACATCCAAAATCTTGAAAATGATCCTAACTCTTGTGTTCTAATCAACACTTTCGACGCGTTAGAAGAAAAATCCATGAGAATTGTTGATAAATTGAGAATTTTTTCAGTTGGTCCTTTGGTTCCATCTGCTTTTTCTGATGGAAATGACCCTAAAGACAAGTCTTTTGGATGCGAATTATTTGAAAATCGCGAAAAAAACTATCGTCAATGGTTGGATTCAAAACCCGAGGATTCTGTTATATACGTATCATTTGGTAGCATCGCAGTATTAAAGAAAGAGCAAAAAGAAGAGATTTTGCATGGATTGTTGGAAAGTGAAAGGCCATTTTTATGGGTGATGAGAAAAGGGAAAGAAGAGGTAGAAGAAGGGAATAATTACAAGAATGAATTTGATGATATTTTGCTAAATGAAAAAGGTATAATTATACCATGGTGTGCACAAATGGAAGTACTATTTCATAAGTCTATAGGGTGTTTTGTGACGCATTGCGGATGGAATTCGACTTTAGAAAGTATGTTCGCTGGTGTGCCTATTGTGGGATGTCCACAATTTTCTGATCAAACAACAAATGCCAAAATGGTGGAAGAAGTTTGGGGAATAGGAGTTAGAGCAAATGCAGTGGAAGGAGTTGTGGGGAGGGAAGAGTTGAAAAGTTGTTTGGAAATTTTGATGGGAAACGGAGAGAAAGGAGAAAAGATTAAAAGGAATGTGAAGAAATGGAGTGATTTGGCTGTGGAAGCTGTGAAAATAGGAGGTTCTTCACATGATAATCTCAAGAAATTCTTAGAGGGTTTGTGAAAATTTTCTACACGCTGATAGTTTAATTATTTGTTTGCACCATTAAGTTATCAAAATGATACTCCGTTTGTTTTATTTTATATGAAAATTTTACCTTTTTAATATGATTCAAACGGAATAGCACATTTCTATATATAGAAATTCTTTAATTTTAATTAATTAGGTTCTCATTTTACTCTCACCGTTATTATTTTATACAGTCACCAAACTATCATGACATGTTTTAAATCGCAAAGTTCTAAGGATACTTTTTGTATGCACCAAAAGTCTTTCTTTATTGTATTACGTGCCTTACATCGACTGAGTTACTCCACATCAAATTTGTGCTATTTGTACATTATGTCCCTTTACAATTTTGAATTAAAGAAAATGACCTTTTTAGATCTCTTATGTGTAAAAGACAGATCTCTTACGTGTAAAAATAAATATTCATGTATAAAAAAAGAGGTGGGGATAGAAATCTCCAATTGTATTTTTTTTTTTTTTATTGATGACAATGTCTCTAATTATATAGACAACAATAGCAGCAAGAGTCCTACAAATGAATGGGATAGAAACAACTTCCTATACATTCAAAATACAGATAAGAACAGATGGATAAGGACATATATCGCTAATATTATTTGGTGTTATCCCTTGTTTTCAGATATTCTGTTATTACGCCCCCTCAAGTTAGGAGTGGTGTCAATGACTCCTAGCTTGTTAAGATGTCGTTGGAAAGGAGAGCTTTAGTGAGGCTGTCTGCAAGTTGGTCAGCTGAGTGAACATGTACAATTTGAAGCTGCTTTTGCTGGACTTGATCGCGAACAAAATGGAAATCAATTGCAATATACTTCATTCGACTATGGAAAATGAGGTTCTGACGTAGATATGTTGTGCCAATATTGTCACAATACACTGTTGGTGGTCGGGACACTAAACTTTGAAGTTCATATAGGAGATTTGTTACCCAATTCGCCTCTGCAACAGCAGTAGCAATAGCCCGATACTCTGCTTCTGTTGAGGAACGAGCAACGGTGCGTTGCTTTTTCAGAAGACCAGCTGATAGAATTTCCACCAAGATAAAGAACATAACCAGAGGTTGAAGTTCGATCATGGATGTCGCCTGCCCAGTCAGCATCAGAATAAACATGAAGTTCTGGTGTGAACGAGCGGCGGAGAAGGAGACCGTACAACATTGTGTGTTTAAGGCACCGAAGGACTCGTTTAACTGCTTGCCAATGAGTAGTGGAAGGGTTGTGCATAAATTGAGAAAGCTTTTTGAATGAAAAATAGATGTCTGGTCGAGTAAATGATAGATACTGAAGCTTTCCAAGAACCTGACGATATTGGGTGGCTTGCGTAGGGGGTGTGCCATCATTAAGTGATAAGGTGACTCTTGTGCTCAGTGGAGTTTGGACACCTTTGTAATCAAACATATCCCATTTGCGAAGAAGATCACAAATATATTTAGATTGAGAAAGGATGAGACCATCCTTGTGAGGAGATCACTTCAACACCGAGAAAGTAGTTGAGATAACCAAGGTCCTTTAAGGAGAATCTGTTGGCCAAAGCTGTCAAGGCGTGATTGAGCATGTCGTTGTTATCGCCAGTAATCACTATGTCGTCGACATAGACTAATAGATACAGAATAATACCATTTCGGGAGTAGACAAAAAAGGGATTGATCAAATTGAGTGCGAGAGAAGCCAAAACTTTGGAGGAATTCCTGTAGTTCCGTATACCAAGCACGTGGGGCTTGTTTAAGTCCATAAATAGCCTTTTTTAATCGACATACATGTCTAGGAAAATCAGCATGTTCAAATCCTGGGGGTTGTGTCATATAAACTTCATCATCAAGTGTTCCTTGTAAGAATGCATTGTTAACGTCTAATTGGTGTAATGGCCATCCCCTGTTTATTGCAATTGACAAAACCAGGCGAACTGTTATTGGTTTAATAACTGGACTGATTGTAGAATGGTAATCAATACCTGGTCGTTGGGTGAAGCTTTTTGCAACAAGGCGAAACTTGAACCGATCAATCGTCCCATCCACTTTGTATTTTATACGAAAGAGCCATTTGCACCCCACTACATTGTGTGATGATTGGAAAGGAACTAAGTCCCATGTTTGGTTCTTGAGAAGTGCTTAAAACTAATCATTCATGGCAGCACGCCACATTGGGTGTTTTTGTGCTTGTTTGTAAGTGCTGGGTGGCAGAATATCTGAAGAAGTAGCTAAATAGTCCATAATTATTTTCGGTTTAAAAATGTTGTTCTGTGAACGGGTGGTTACGTGAGATGGTGGGGGAGGCATAGATGGGTTTTTGTTAGTATGATTGGAAGCAAGATGTTTAGCAGATGGAGAAGATTCAGAGATAAAATTTTCTGATGAAGGAGATGTTGTATGAGGGGGAGGGAGGAAGAGTCAGATAAACACAAGGTAGAAGACTTACCTGCAGTAGATGATTTTGAAACACGTGAGTCCTGGTTGTTTGGCTGAGAGGAATGATCTGTAAGAGTAGCATCCACCATGGCTGGAACAATGTTTTGTTGTGAGGCTTTTATAGGTATGGGTGTAGGAGTGGCAAACGGGCGGGTCGGGTCGGATATAGTTCGGGTTGAAAACGGGTAATGAAAAACGGATCAATTATCCGACCCGACCCATATTTAATACGGATAAAAAACGGGTTAACCGGCGGATAATATGGGTTACCCATATTATCCATGACTTCTTGTATATGATAACTTTTAGGAGAATTCTTAGTCTCTCTAACTTGAGGAACCCCCAATTTGAGGCTTTACAAATGTAAAAGTTAGACCCATTGGTTACTCATTGGTTATCCATTTTCTAAATGGATAATATGGTTCTTATCCATATTTGACCCGTTTTTAAAAAGTTCATTATTAAACCCATTTTTTAGTGGATAATATGGGTGGTTAATTGTTTTCTTTGAACCATTCTGCCACCCCTATATGGGTGGTGGATTAGGAAAATGATCTTCTGTTAAAATGGAGTGACTTGGCGAGACTGCTTCAGTGGTGATAATATCATGCCACTCAATGGTTGACTTATTATGTTTAACTAAGGAAAACATACTTTGAAAGGGAAAAATGTCTTCATAAAATTTGACATGGCACGACAAATAAACTTTGGAAGAAATTGGGTCAAAACATTGATAACAGTAATACTTGGAGGAGAATCCGACATACACGCATGGGGTAGATCTTGGTTTCAATTTATTTTTGGCATATGATTTAAGCCATGGATAGCATAACCAAATGTGCGAATGGTGAGGTAGTTTGGTTGAGTGCCAAAAATGCATTGATAAAGAAACTTATTTTGCAGAATGGTCGTCGGAAGGCAATTTATTAAATAGACCAGCTTGACAGGCAAAAGTCCATAGATTTGAGGGTAGAGATGCTTGGTGAAGTAAGGTACGAGCGGTTTCAATAATGTGGCGATAACGTCGTTCAGCAAATGTTACTCTTTGGGGTGTATATGGGGGGAAAATAAATGTTGGATGCCATGTGCATGTAGAAAGGTTTGAAGACCTTCATACTCGCCCAGGATTTCCTAAGCAAGGTAGAGAATGACGCTTTAAAATTTCTTGACGGACTCTAAAATGTGGGTGGCCAAGTCGTTGGTGCCATCGGTAATAGCTGGGCTTGGTTGTGGCAGTAAGGGCAGATGGTGGTTGATAACTTGATGTTGGCCACTCATACAGATCATTCCTATCGTGGCCTCGAACCAATGGTGCACCCGTGTTTAGCTCCTTAACAACAAAGAAAGATGGGAAAAATTCAATAGATGTACGATTTTGATTACAGAACTTAGAAACCGAAATGAGATTTCGTTTAATGTAAGGTGCACAAAGAATATTAGGGAGATAAAAGTCTTTAGTGGGAGTGAAAAGAGTGCATGAGCCAGTGTGAGTAATTGGGATACCGTTACGTTCACCCATGCAGATTTCCTCAGTGCCAGTATAATCAAGCGGCGGCACCAAATTGTGTGAATCGGCAGTGATGTGATGGGAGGCTCCAGTGTCAAGAACCCATGGGTTATTGTTTTGTTGGCCTTGGCGTGTAGCAAGAAGTGCCTTGGCTTCATTGTGGTTGTGAGAATGCGAACAATGGACATTGGCAGTGTGGCCATATTTTCCGCAAAGCTGACATTGAACATGTCCCTGTGGGTTGCTTTTGGAAGTTTTGTCGCCAAAAGGGTGGCCGAGAAATAGATACTTGATTCATACCAAATGGATGACCATTATAGGGCTGTTGTGAATGATTGTTCATACGTTGTGCTTGTGGTTGCTGGTTATTCCAGCGCTTGTTATTGTTGTGATCTGAGGTATGGTTGTTTGAACCCTTCTGTGCAACATTAGCTGTGATGGAAAGGGTATTCTTCTTGAGCTCCTCATGTTTAAGGAACAATTCATGATCTGAAAGTTTGCCAAACAATTCTTCGTATGAAATCGGTGTGTCTCGAGCACGGATAGCAGCGCTTATCTCACAATATTCGGGGCCTAAGCCGCTGAGTATTTTGACTACTAGTTCAGCATTACTGATTGGTGCACCAGAAGTTGCAAGTTCATCAGCTAGTGATCGAATTTCCCGAAGATAGTCAGATACTGATTTTGAGTCCCTTGTCGTCTTGGCCAGCAAATCGCGGAGACTGTATATTCGGGTTTGGGATTTATTTGCATAAGTCGTGTGAAGCATTTCCCATGCTTGTTGAGATGTTTCGGCAGCAGCTATAGAAGGTGCAATGGTTGCGTCAACAGATGCCATTAGAGCATTTCGGATGAGACTATCTTGGCGGAACCAAAGTCTATATTCTGGATTGGCTATTTCTTTATTGTCTTTGGTTATCTTTTTGGGTGGAGAGGTGCTGGTGTCATTAAGAAATGACATCAGGTCATGTCCACACGTAAGTGTGGAAAATTGTGCTTTCCATGTGGTAAAATTAGTGCTGCCAAATAGTTTTAGGGAAGCTGAGAGGAAGGGTGAAACTGGACAAC